GTCCACTTGAATTTTTTTTAAAAAATTTCAAGTGGGGCCCCCTGCACTGTAGCAGGTGAGGGGTGTGTCTGGTGGTGTGGCCGGAGGTGTGTATGTAGCATTTTTTATCCAAATAAAGCCCTTAAGGCTAACTCTGAGTTACTATGCTAATCAATAAATTAATATAGTGGATGACAGGGAGGATACGTACTTTACCGAAGAACTGCCTCAGTTTCAATCGCAGCCATCCAATCACATCCAACGGCAGAGATTTCAACTCCCACCACACTGAATCTGAATCTCCCTCCACGTCAAAACTCCCAATTTTATAATGAAATTCCCCCCAAAAAAAAAACCGCAAACCCCATGGATTCATCCTCGTCATCATCCCAGCTCAAGAACAACTCCAAAGTTCTTGCTTCCGTTGCGTCCCCTGACAAGGGCGAAGCCCTCGACGAAGCGCCGGCGTCGGAGGCGGAGCGATCGTCGGAGCTCAGCCGATCAAAGTGGGTTCTTTTTATTACTGGGTTTTCGGGGAATTCCTTGATTTTTTTAGCTTAATCGCGTTAGATGGTCATCGTCATTGGATGATTAGAACGACGTGAAGGTTTTCTCTGGCTAATATGGGGTATCAATTATATTGTTGGGAGTTGTTGGGAATTTTTATACCAAGGCCATTGCTTTATGTAAATTTACTATACATATTGTGTGTTGTAATCTATTGAAATTTAAGATTGCTAGTGATATGAAGAATTTCCGGCTGCGGGATGAGTTTTGTTCGTCGTGTTTAATTTGTTCTTTAATCATCAAGCATATGCATCTAATTTGTGTGTTACTCTGCTTGAGACATGCATCAAGCATATGCTTTCCTTAGGTTTATCAAATTGCTTAGGGAAAATGTTGCTCGTACGAAGATTATTTCTGCGACAGAATGAATGGAAGGTTTCAGTTAATAAAAGAAACATCTCATGTTAGATGCTATGCTCATCCTTTCATGGTAGGCTCCCACTAAAACCAACTGCTTACTTTTGTTACTCTTAACCAGGGCTGCTGCAGTTGCATTGACCGAGAGGCATACGGATTCTGGTTCACTTCCCGTAGAGGACTTTGATATGGAGCTTGAAGATCAAAGTGGTCAGAAACTACAGATTGGATCTGAAACTGATCATAGGTACTAGTCTCAACACTTGCGTAAGTTCTTGGTTCTCTCAGTTCATATCTAAGGAAGTATATTATAAGGAGGGTGCTTGTCACGATTTACAGGGGAGCAACGATGGGAGTAATGCCTCGTACAAAGGGGGGAAACCTAATTGATAAGGAGAACATTAAGGATGCTTTAGAGGTGCTTACTATGGCAGAGGTCAGTCACGAAGTTACTAATCGGGTTCCACACCATGAAATTGTTGAGCCGTGTAAAGGTATGGATTTTAAAACACAGGAGGAGGCTTATTCTTATTATAAAAAATATGCAAGGAGTTATGGGTTTGGTGTTTCAATCAAGGCATCTCGCCGTTCCAAGAAAACAAATGAGTTTATTGACGTTAAATATGCTTGTAAAAGGCACGGAGAGAAGCGAAAATTAGATGCTATTCATCCTCGTCCTTGCTTAAAAATAGGGTGCAGAGCGATGTTGCATGCGAAAAGAATAGAAGATGAAAAGTGGGTAGTCCACGAATTTATCAAGGATCATAATCATGAGTTTTCTCCGAAGTATGCTCATTATTTACCTTATCATAGTGGTATTACATCATCACAAAAGCATGACGTTAGCACATTACAAGCTGTAGGTGTGGGGGTGAGCAAAATCGATGCAGCAATGTCAAAACAACAGGCGGGATATGATAATATTGGTTGTTTAGAGAAGGACATTAGAAATCTTGTTGAGAAAGAGAAACGACTATCACTACAATCAGGAGATGCCAATGCGATTATGGATTTTATTATGCACATGAAAGAAAAAGATCCTGAGTTCTTTTTCGCTATAGATTGGGATGAGCAGCATCGTCTCAAAAATGTTTTTTGGGTTCATGGAAAAGGAAGGAGGAATTATCAAATTTTCAGTGATGTTGTTTCTTTTGATACAATATATATCACCAGTCGGTACCAAATGCCTCTTGCTCCTTTTATTGGAGTGAATAATCATTTTCAACCCATTATATTGGGGTGTGCTTTACTGGCAGACGAATCAACTGCGACATTTGTTTGGCTAATGAGGACTTGGTTAACTGCAATGGGGGGAAAAACTCCAAATGTAATCCTAACAGATCAAGACAAGGCAATGAAGTCTGCCATCAGGCTTGTATTTCCAAATGCGAAACATTGTTATTGTTTATGGCATATAATGAGAAAGCTTCCCGAAAAACTTCCTCACGTGATAAACAAACACGAGAAGTTTATGGAAACGTTCCAAAGATGTATTTATAGGTCTTGGACGAAGGAACAATTCGAAGAAAGGTGGTTCTCCATGGTGGAAGATTTTGAGTTGATTGAGGATCCATTGCTTCAATCATTGTTTGAAGAAAGGGAGTATTGGGTGCCTGCCCATATGAGAGATACTTTTTTTGCGGGTATGTCATTTAGCAGAAAAATCGACTATATCATTCTCTCTCTCTCTCTCTCTCTCTCTATATATATATATATATATATATATATATATATATATATATATATATATATATAGAGAGAGAGAGAGAGAGAGAGAGAATGATATAGTCGATTTTTCTGCTAAATGACATACCCGCAAAAAAAGTATCTCTCATATGGGCAGGCACCCAATACTCCCTTTCTTCAAACAATGATTGAAGCAATGGATCCTCAATCAACTCAAAATCTTCCACCATGGAGAACCACCTTTCTTCGAATTGTTCCTTCGTCCAAGACCTATAAATACATCTTTGGAACGTTTCCATAAACTTCTCGTGTTTGTTTATCACGTGAGGAAGTTTTTCGGGAAGCTTTCTCATTATATGCCATAAACAATAACAATGTTTCGCATTTGGAAATACAAGCCTGATGGCAGACTTCATTGCCTTGTCTTGATCTGTTAGGATTACATTTGGAGTTTTTCCCCCCATTGCAGTTAACCAAGTCCTCATTAGCCAAACAAATGTCGCAGTTGATTCGTCTGCCAGTAAAGCACACCCCAATATAATGGGTTGAAAATGATTATTCACTCCAATAAAAGGAGCAAGAGGCATTTGGTACCGACTGGTGATATATATTGTATCAAAAGAAACAACATCACTGAAAATTTGATAATTCCTCCTTCCTTTTCCATGAACCCAAAAAACATTTTTGAGACGATGCTGCTCATCCCAATCTATAGCGAAAAAGAACTCAGGATCTTTTTCTTTCATGTGCATAATAAAATCCATAATCGCATTGGCATCTCCTGATTGTAGTGATAGTCGTTTCTCTTTCTCAACAAGATTTCTAATGTCCTTCTCTAAACAACCAATATTATCATATCCCGCCTGTTGTTTTGACATTGCTGCATCGATTTTGCTCACCCCCACACCTACAGCTTGTAATGTGCTAACGTCATGCTTTTGTGATGATGTAATACCACTATGATAAGGTAAATAATGAGCATACTTCGGAGAAAACTCATGATTATGATCCTTGATAAATTCGTGGACTACCCACTTTTCATCTTCTATTCTTTTCGCATGCAACATCGCTCTGCACCCTATTTTTAAGCAAGGACGAGGATGAATAGCATCTAATTTTCGCTTCTCTCCGTGCCTTTTACAAGCATATTTAACGTCAATAAACTCATTTGTTTTCTTGGAACGGCGAGATGCCTTGATTGAAACACCAAACCCATAACTCCTTGCATATTTTTTATAATAAGAATAAGCCTCCTCCTGTGTTTTAAAATCCATACCTTTACACGGCTCAACAATTTCATGGTGTGGAACCCGATTAGTAACTTCGTGACTGACCTCTGCCATAGTAAGCACCTCTAAAGCATCCTTAATGTTCTCCTTATCAATTAGGTTTCCCCCCTTTGTACGAGGCATTACTCCCATCGTTGCTCCCCTGTAAATCGTGACAAGCACCCTCCTTATAATATACTTCCTTAGATATGAACTGAGAGAACCAAGAACTTACGCAAGTGTTGAGACTAGTACCTATGATCAGTTTCAGATCCAATCTGTAGTTTCTGACCACTTTGATCTTCAAGCTCCATATCAAAGTCCTCTACGGGAAGTGAACCAGAATCCGTATGCCTCTCGGTCAATGCAACTGCAGCAGCCCTGGTTAAGAGTAACAAAAGTAAGCAGTTGGTTTTAGTGGGAGCCTACCATGAAAGGATGAGCATAGCATCTAACATGAGATGTTTCTTTTATTAACTGAAACCTTCCATTCATTCTGTCGCAGAAATAATCTTCGTACGAGCAACATTTTCCCTAAGCAATTTGATAAACCTAAGGAAAGCATATGCTTGATGCATGTCTCAAGCAGAGTAACACACAAATTAGATGCATATGCTTGATGATTAAAGAACAAATTAAACACGACGAACAAAACTCATCCCGCAGCCGGAAATTCTTCATATCACTAGCAATCTTAAATTTCAATAGATTACAACACACAATATGTATAGTAAATTTACATAAAGCAATGGCCTTGGTATAAAAATTCCCAACAACTCCCAACAATATAATTGATACCCCATATTAGCCAGAGAAAACCTTCACGTCGTTCTAATCATCCAATGACGATGACCATCTAACGCGATTAAGCTAAAAAAATCAAGGAATTCCCCGAAAACCCAGTAATAAAAAGAACCCACTTTGATCGGCTGAGCTCCGACGATCGCTCCGCCTCCGACGCCGGCGCTTCGTCGAGGGCTTCGCCCTTGTCAGGGGACGCAACGGAAGCAAGAACTTTGGAGTTGTTCTTGAGCTGGGATGATGACGAGGATGAATCCATGGGGTTTGCGGTTTTTTTTTTGGGGGGAATTTCATTATAAAATTGGGAGTTTTGACGTGGAGGGAGATTCAGATTCAGTGTGGTGGGAGTTGAAATCTCTGCCGTTGGATGTGATTGGATGGCTGCGATTGAAACTGAGGCAGTTCTTCGGTAAAGTACGTATCCTCCCTGTCATCCACTATATTAATTTATTGATTAGCATAGTAACTCAGAGTTAGCCTTAAGGGCTTTATTTGGATAAAAAATGCTACATACACACCTCCGGGTGTGGCTGGTGGTGTGGCCGGAGGTGTGCCTGTAGCATCACTCTATTTGGATTTGCAACAATGAGAGAAAATTTAAGGGAACATAGAATAAATTAAGCTAATAGAAGATGAGAGAATGCGAAAATTTTATTTAAAAACTTGGTAAGGAGAATCAGAGGAACTTATTTCATCCCGTTTGCGAAGTATAATAAAATAAAGGAAATGTAAGAAAATATATGTAAATTTATATGAATACATTATATGTTATTTTATCCATTTGAATCTCATCTTGATATATATGGGGTGAAATTATCTTTGTGTAATATTCTAGGGTTATGTTAATAATTACATTCTCCTACCTCCTAGTCCATTAGGCCCCAATTTAGAGTTGATTGGTTTTTATTTTAATTTTTTTTTTTTTTGGGGGGGGGGGGGGGGGGGGGGGGGGGGGGGGGGGGGGGGGGGGGGGGGGGGGGGGGGGGGGGGGGGGGGGTGGGGGGGGGGGGGGGGGGGGTTCATTAAGTTTTTCCCCTTCATTACTTAAATCCCCCCTCATTGAACTACTTCAAATATGTTACAGTGGAATAACATCAATGTTGCAAGAACAACCAAGGAAGGGAAGCAAGCAAGCAGTCCTTCGATAAAAGACACCGGTCGGATTCCACGCGACAGCTACGGCCATAACCGCCTAAACCTCACTATACATAACCCACAAAATTTGACGGACATCAACAAGCCGCATCACTCGCGGATCACCTTGGCCAAGTGCGTCGTGATAGCATCCCTGATCCTCTCGCCTCCTCGTCCCCCCCCCTCGAACGCCCCGAAGAACCCCCCGGCTCCGCCCCGGCCCCATCCCCTCCCCTCTCCTCCTCCAGCACCGGCTCGCTGCACTTGGCGAGGTAGTTGTGCAGCAAGCAGCCCCCCACCACGACGTACGGCAGCCGGCCCCGACGCACTCTCCCTCCACTCGGCCCTCAGCAGCTCCACCTCCCCCTCAGCCTCTTCAGCGCCCTCGCCGCCATCTCCATCCCCCTCGCGTGCACCGTGTTGAACACACCCCTCCTCCTTGGAGCCCCTCCCGGCCTCCCCCGGCCCCCCGTACGGGTCAGCAGCCACGGCAGCAGCGGCGGAGGGGCCGCCTATGAAGTACCTTGGGGGAGGGAGCTGCTGCTGCTGCTGGTCGGTTCTTCCCCCGCCGCCGAGGACGGAGGGCCTCGCGCGTGGAGCATTGGTCCTCGGAGGACGTCGCGGGGGCCATGGAGCCGTCCCACCCGGCGACACGTCGAGGAACCTGCCCTCGGAGTCGACGAGGAACTGGCGAGGACGGAGCGGGGGCCGCGCGGGCCGCGGCGACGGGGAAGCGGGAGTAGGCGAGGGCGCCGTGGCAGCCGGGAGGGACATCCAGCCGAAGCCCTGGGCGACGCGGGGGAGGCGGAGGGGGGGAGGTCGAAGAGGAGTGGGGGAGGGCCTCGGAGGCGGCGCGGAGGGTCTCGTAGAAGGCGCGGGCGGCGAGGGAGGGGGAGGGAGGCCGAGGCGGCGGGCGACGAAGGGGAAGGGGCGGCGTGGCGAGCGGAGGAGGCGGCGGAGAGCTTGACGTCGGCGGGGAGGGGGTAGGGGAGGGAGGGAGGAGAGGGAGGGGGAGAGGGTCCGGAGGAGGAGGTAGAAGGAGGCTTGGACATGCGGAAGGTCTCGAGCCAGCGGGGTGCAGGGGCGCGGAGGAGGAGGAGGAGAGGAAGCGGCGGAGCCACGGAAGGGTTGGAGGGCGGCGGCGCCCGGGGGATCGGGGCAGGTGGGCCTCGCTGGGGTGGGGATCAGGAGGAGAGGGAGAGGGCGGAGGAGCGAGGAGGGAGGAGAGGGAGAGGGACTGGGCGGGGGAAGGAGGAGGTTGGAGTCGAGAAGCGGAGGAGAGGGAGATCGCCGAGGTCAGGAGGGGACGAGCTCCTCATCCCCCTCCTCCCTGGTCGGCCGCCGGTCTGGGCGACGGGGGCGACGGGGGACGCGCCCTGGTTTTCGTCCTCGCCATATTTGGGGGAAATGACGTGGGGGATGTGGGGGAGAGCGCTGCGTCCTCAGTTAATAGTGGGCCCCAAACAACTCAATGAGAGGTTTCCGTACTACCGCTATTAGCCCTCGTGTCGTTCGTATTTTTGAGATTATAGTCCCCAAGATCAAAAAAATTATGGGAGTTCCAAAAACACAACTCCGGCCACCGGCTATCGACGCATACGGTGGTCGCAATGGGAACAAAGGAAAAGCGGTACAGCGCCACAAAATCACAGGCTTAGTTTGGATAGATAGGAAACGCAGAAGAAATCAACAGCCACGCATCCAGTAAAAGTTTCTGGAATTGTACAACAAGAGAGGCCATCGTCGGAGCCGAGACCGGCGTTATTACTCGCAAATACATGAATGCCTTCACAGCTACTATTTACAAGCAACCCGCGTACGTAGCTCACTACCTTAAATTATGTACACGCAAAATAACATACACAAACTCGCAGTTTCCCCAAAGGACGTGCTCTTGCTGGCTATACAACAGGTAACATTTTCATCATTCCCTGCAGCAATTGGAAACAGGTCAACCATCAAGCACTAGCAATGGTGATTACTGCTAGAAGATCATGGAAAACCCCGACGTACCTCTTTAGAGAAGACCAAACTCCTTTGTACATCCCTCCGTAATGTCATACAAGAGATTCTACTTCTCACAAGTCCACTTCTGGACCCTTGTGTTCTGGAGACCGAAAACTTGACAGAGCCAAAGTTTTAGGTCGCTTCCGCTGATTTCTAGTTTGTGACCGCTTGCGTTGGAGAACAAGAATCCGAACGGTTCAAACAACAAGCCAGGCGGCCGAGTAAACCTGGGACCGTGGGATGGCGGATATCATCTTCCCTTTTCTGCATAGCCCTCAGAAACTCCTCCGAGCTCAAATTCCCATCACGGTTCGTATCAAAGACGTGGAAAATTACATCGACCACGTTGTCGGTCAAAGGAACACCACAGACCTATCAAAGAAAAGAAGGATCATTTCACTTAGAACGTCATTGTCCTCATCATCATCAACAATAACGACAAAGCTTTAATCCCCAAAAATTTTGGGTCACCTACACGAATCATATTATTTCATTCAGTTCTATTAAGGGCTATCTCCTCGGTTGACTAGTATTATTTCCTTGCTTCCAATCAAGTTCTCTTAGCCTCTTATGTATAATAGGCCTATTAACTCATTAACTATAATATTATCACTTCGTAGAACTGGTGCATTTAGTGGCTTCAGTTGCACATGAAGAAACCTTCGCAATGATTTCTCTCACATTTTCAAACAATTGAAAAGCTAGAACAAATTGCACCCAGAAAATGAAAACGCATCTGTTATACCTGAGATGCGGCTCTTTTGAAGTCTTCCTTTGTCAATAAACCATTTACTTTCCCATAACTGAAGATTGCCAGAGACAATGGGTGCAATTGCTTGCGTAGGTCCGCAAAAGCCTTGAATTCCTAAGTTTACAATTCAAGTCAACATAAGTAAGAGCTGGCTACGAAGTTGAATTTCTAAGTTTTCAATTCAAGTCAGAATAATAAGTAAGAACTGGCTATGAGGTTGCTAGCGTAAGGGATACAGATAGAGGCTTACCTCAAAGGTAATGCGTACATCTCTAAGATAAGAGTCACTATCCACTTCGTCTACACGATCGAGAAACTTATTTATATGATTCATGTCAGCAGAAGCAACCATTGACAGGGCAAAGTCCTTTGAAGAAATTGATTTTCTTTGCTTATAGTCGTAATGGTCAAACTCCAAGCGCAGAATCTACAAAAGAATAATAAGCAACGTATAAAATGATAATCGGCACTTATTGCTTGAAAAAGAACTATTACATCTGACACTCAATGCAATCTCCCTATTAGGATTATTTCAGCAGGGACAACTGAAAAGCATAAGAAGAACATCCTATTACCAGAAAAACTTTTACAATTTTTAATAACAGTATCAGAATTCTGCAAATTTTCTGAAGAGTAGAAAGAACAGAAAAATATCTGTAACAAGTGATGAAACATTCCCACAAATATCCTGAAAACTTTTTACGCCGTGGAATTTATTAAGAAGATGATCACAATTTTTAAAGTCAAACCTTAGAAACAGAAGATAGCTACCTCATCATGCAAATCCCTCAAAAACTTGACAAACTTGTCATGCTGGAGCCTTTCATTTCCATCCTCACCAAAAAAGAAGTCCACTAGGCCCGCATTCTCAACAGAGCTGTGAACTTTCAGGCCTATGCGTAATCCATTGCTATGACAAGCCCCCTGCCGGTTAGAAGATCGCATCAAAGTCATCACTTTCTTAAACTCCTCTTTCTCGATCTCTCTGTAGAATTACAGACAAATCAGCATCAGTACCTAACCAAATTTAAAATTCAGAAAAGAAAAGATTGTCCGGCATTCAATCAAATGGATTGATGTCTACTCTACAAAATCAGAATTAATTCAGAAAAGAAAAGATTGTCCGGCATTCAATCAAATGGATTGATGTCTACTCTACAAAATCAGAATTAATCTGGACTTGAACTAGAATTGCTTAATTCAATCAAATGGATTGATGTCTACTCTACAAAATCAGAATTAATCTGGACTTGAACTAGAATTGCTTAGGTGGATGTGAACTGTCAACAGGAACACAATATTAAGTACAAAATCCACAGCCAAATTGTCTAACTTCAGCGATAGCATATGTACAGCATACGTAAATAAGAAGTCTTTTCAGGAAGCAGCATTCAAAATGGAAGAAAGAGATAATATATTATAAGAGCATACCTCCGACAAATGTGTCTTTGGAAATGCATAATGTAAGGGAGCTCAGTAAACTGGCTCTTAACTGCAGAACAAGTGTCATCTCATACAAATTAGCAGAAATTATTCGGTTATTGATACACAATTTGTTATATGATATATCTAACAAGCTATAATTTACTGTTGTCCTTATTTTAGCACTTTGATTGCATGCCATTCTGCAAAGCTTCCCAAGACAATGTCCTACAAATTTTTTTATCAACAAGGTTTACAGATCAGTTTGAGTTTATGCACATTATAAATATTGGCTTTGTTAGTTAGAAGTATGAAGAAGACACTGAAGGATAACAGAGAAAGGTGTCATCGTAATGTTGAAGAACTCATAAGAAACAAACTTACTGCATTCAGTATGAATAGATCCGGCTCAACTAAAAGAAGCTGTGAGCATCAGAGTGTAGAAGATACCTACCCACTATTGTCAAGATCAAAAATTTTAAACGCCACACTGAAGCTTGATTCAGGAATGCTGAGCAACGTGACAAAGAAGATATACCTACAACGATAAAAAATAAAAGTAAAATTAGCATAAACTCAGAGCTTAGAGAAAGTTTAGCCATTAACTTTAAGCTTTATCAACAAAGCAAATTAAATCTAGCTTACTCCGGAAAGGATATCAGTCCATCACTGTTAGTATCAAAAAGCATAAACAACGGTGACGGATCACAATGCAGTTCACCAACAAAGCGCTCTCCTCTAAGATGTCCTTCTCTAATGATATGTGATTCTGATGGAGGAAATACAGGAACAACTGCTCTCATCAAATCTGCTGCTGACATGAATACCTCTCCCTCAGGACCACGAAAAGATGAAAAGTACTCAAAAATCTGGAAAGGAGGATTTGAGAAAGTGTACAGTGTCAATGCCTACTAGTGAATGTCTGCAAAAGTAATATCAATTTTGCGTAGCTACGTAAAAATTAAAGCAAATATATGCAAGGATTTAATATATGTTAACAAAGTCCTGATAATAAAAGAGAAAATGTTTCATATCATCATTCCGTTCAAACTCACAAGATAGGTAAAAAATGCTAATGAAGTGGATACCTTCTCGGGCTGACTTCGCAGCCTCAATCTTTTCTCATAGTTAAAGAACACTCGCCTTCGAAATGACTCTGCAACAGCAAACAGAGACAAACAACTCTCAGTAACGTCAATATTGAAACCGGGCGAGCACGTTTTGACGGGTGAACTATGCATATGATAGGTGTACACAATGCGAGTCCCACATTTCACGAGCCACATAGAAAATGGCTAACACACAGCAACCTGATTTACAAGGCGTTTTCAGATTTACAAAGGACGGAGCCGTCTCTGATTTTTCTTGCACTGATTTTACAAGGTGAAGAGAATCGCTGGCATGCCAATATGCGAATTATGAAGTCTAGTAAGTAACAATCTTATGACTTACATCACACTGGTCCAAAATAATTAATAGCTAAACATGATAAAGTATGATTTTTGCGTGCAATTGAATATTATTATCTAAACATCATTGCATAACGAAACCTACACCGCAATTTGAGGCTATGAAGAAAATGAATGAATAAAGCCGAGGAATTTAGCATGACAAGCTCTCGCTCCCCGTGATTTTCCATCAATAATTCCCCCCAAAAAGAAAAAAAAGAAAAATAAAAATTGAGTAGAAACAGGACGCAACCGACCTCCGAGAATAAATCTAGGCTTCTTTCCTTTGCTGATCCAGACCGTCGTCGGCGTCCCCGTCGGCGATCAGCCACAGCCACGTCGACGGCAAGCAGCCCAGCCACGGTTCCCGCCGACGAACCCTAGATCGAGATCGGACGGCGAGGGACGGCTCCTCTCGATGCCGGCGCGCGTCAGAGAGCCGTCGGATCAAGGTCGATCATGCGAACGATCGAAGCGAATCTGGAGCGGCCATGAGAGAAGAGAGAGAGAGAGATTGTTTTTAGTGAGAGAGAGAGAGAGAGAGATGAGAGTTTATATTTTCGAGGAGAGAGAGAGCGAAGAAAGAAAAAGGTCGGAGAGAGAGAGAGAGAGCGGGGGCAGCGTACCGCGGCGAATTGGGTCGCACGAATCCACGGTTTTATGTGTCGGCAGCCGAAACCGTGCGACTCATCCGAAATCAACACGACTCGAGAGCTTGGGGCCGCCACGTGTCAATTATCCGTTTCTGACCGAGTTTGTCTCTGTTGTTGGACTTGATAAGTTGGCTGTGTTGCCTCTATTGGACTTGGATAAGTGCATGCGGGCCGACTCCAAATTTAGACATTTTGAAAATATCTCAATTACTGTGCACCCCCCTTGCAAATCGCGGGCCTCCATTTTTTTTTTATTTTCGCAATACAGTTTTCGTGAGTGCTATAGTAATATTTTTTAAATTCTACAGTATCTCGTTTGAGCTACACTAATAATGTTGCAGTAACGTTTTTAGACGCTACAGTTCCCGCATGTGCTACAGTAATAATCTTACAGTGATTCATGCAGCATGAACAGTGAAGCCTGGATCCTCCTGTCTGTGCTACGGTAATAATACTATCGTAATTTACTGTTGTATGAATAGTAAATCTTGGGTCCTCCCATTATTATAGAGGAATAGATGGGAAGCGAAAATGTGTAAGGGATAACATATAAAATTTAAGCGGTATTTTCAGTAGGGAGAGCAAGAAACAAATCCATATTTACTGTAATTTAGAGCTCGAGGATACTTTTATTTCTTGGCTTAAAAGATAAAACTGCATATGTTTTTAGTATGGTCACAGGTCACTTATGCTTTTAGGCTTGATGTAGTGAGATTAAGCTCTTTAGCATATAGAACCGTGGTTATAGTTTTAGTCAATTTATGAAGCTAAATCAAAATTGCATATGTTTTTAGTATGATTCTCTTGTGCAGCCTACAATTTAAGCTGGCATATAGTTGAAGGGTGATCATAGAGAGTTAGCTTTGATCTTGAGTTTGAAACATAGATAGAATGGGGAGTGAAAAAGGAAAATCATATCATATTTTAGAATGGGCAGTGAAAAGGAAAATCATATCATATTTTTCTCAACAATGAACTTAATTAAGAGGACTCTAATTTTCTCTGCTTTTTAAGTGTTAGCTTCTATGTATGTGAAAAAAAGAATATTCTTCACTTTTTTTTGTTTTGGGAGGATAGAGATGACAAAATTCCATGTTTTTTGTTAGTATCAATACAACTACTATAAAAAACTAGTCTATAGTGAGACATTTGGGGGCATGTTCGGGATCTTTTAAATTTGAAAACCCCCGGGTGTGGGTGTGGTGTGTGGTGGGGTGGGGTGGGGAGCACGTGCTCCTCCTCTCTCCCTCCCCCCTCCCCTTCCCTGATCTCTCTCTCCCCCTTCCCTTCCTTTCCCTCTTTCCTCTCTCCGCTTATGGTTATGGAGGAGCATAAGTCCTGACAAAATAGATCGCATGCCAGTTGGGACTACTCTGATTCATACAAGGAAATAGATTGCATGCCAATTGAGACTAATCTGATTCATACAAGGAAATAGTGAGATTTCCAACATTTTCCTATGTACTTATGGATCAGATTATCTAGCATATATATCCATAATTTTTATAGAATTTGCATTAAATGATGGGAGTCCTGCATAAATTCTCATGTAGAGAGCCAAAAATGAATGAGGGAAAATTTTGCAAGTGTGTCATTATTAATTTTAAATCAGTACAAACAATGCATAAAACAAGTGTAAAACAGTAAATGTAATAAATATAAGGGAAAACTGCATATTAGAACACATTTGCTATATCCACTCCCAAACAGTAATTTTGGGAGTTGGATTGCCAAAAATACCCTTTTGTTGCCCTTTGTGTTATTAAATACCTTTGTGTTATTAAATGCAAACGTAATTAATACTCGATTTTAGCACTAACCGGATTTGTTTCTTGGGATATGTTGTGTTATTAAATGCAACGTAATTAATACTCGATTTAGCACTAACCGGATTTGTTTCTTGGGATATGTTTCAGTAAATGAGATCCATAAACAATTTTCAACGTAATTATATACTCGATTTTTAGCACTAACCGGATTTGTCATGGGAGTATCGTTTGGGATGGTGGCTTGTGAAAGTGAGATTCCATTAAGCAGATTGTTTGTACGATTTGAAACATGACGGCTGCAACGTAATTTGAACATTGTTATGCATTTAAGTAAAGAATAACAAACTAAGCAGCTATTATTAAATTGTTTACGATCTGTTGAGAGATTAACATAATTTTACCCATGGATTTCTCAGTGTTGATTGTCAACGTAATCTTGAACATGGTGTGTTGATGCTGAGTTTAATGTGTAAGAAAAATAACGATTGTAGCCACTAACGGATTGCGAATGTTTATGCGTGTCGATGGCTTCGAATTCCGATTTCGAATTTTTATAACAAGTTTCATTTCCAATACAATTTACACAAATTACATAAAGATCGTTTTTTTCAAAAAAATTACACCACTCAGAATCAAAATTGATTTTGACCCCTTAGATTTTTACATATAAAAAAGGCCAACTTTAAGTTTTCAAATCACAATCACAATCTCAAACACTCACAACTCAAAACACTTACACATTACATCACAAACAATATGAATTCTGGAGATACAACTCCATAAATCTTGATGAAGTTGAATTCGTCATCGACGAAACACAAAGTGATCCATTCCAGGATCATAGTTCATATTTAGAGTTTGAAGACATTTCAACCGATTTGCGTTAATCCGCGAAGGAGGTTTTGCTAGTAGAGAGGACATGGATGGCTCATGTAATATATGTTGCTGGCTTGAGGAACGTTACTTTGGCAATTCGTGATTCGAAGGGAAAAGACGACCGGACGCCAAGTTCGATATTTATGTAGCCAAGGTGGCGGATACAGACCAAAAAGGTTACTGAGAACTAGGTCACTAAAACGACAAAAAATAATGTCCATTTTGTTGGACGGAATGGATTACCCTGAGAGGCGCGCTGGTACTTTGAACCGGGAGCGGAGACACAAACCATCCATTCTTGTCTCGATGCTGTGGATCTCGTTTAGGTAAACTATCCCATATTCAACTTGAAGTTATTAGGCGAGCAAGAGAATTTTAATTTAAGCCGAGTAATATGTTGGTGTCCATGAAAAGGGCTGATCCGGGAGAACAAATCGTGTCAGAAACAAGTTTACAATGCTGCCAGTAAGGTGCGTGCCTGTAGGCTGTCTAAAAATCACAATGGGATAGCTAATCCCTATCAAGCCCTGATAATGGAAGTTACAATCAGACGACTTTCTAAATCACTGCATCCGCAACTCTGCAACCGCTATAAACACGGCCTCATCTCTGGAGATGATTATCTTGATGGCCTGCGACAACAGCATGACTAAGATATATTAGCAACTATTGAGAGATGCTGGATGAGCAGTGTAATGATTTCAGAAATAAAAAGTTGGACTTAGTTGGTGAGCGCTTGGTAGAGAGCTGTGGGCAAATATCCAGTCTTCAAAACACTATGGATGTTGATTCCCGTCAAGCTCTCACAACGAAAGCTACAATCAAATAGCTCTTTCGGGTCGACAGTCGGAAGGGGCAAATAGGAGACTTTTCACACAAGATCGAGAAGAGTTACAATTGACGACGCTTCCGGACACTGATGAAAACCCTATTCAGGGGCCTTCACGATCGTTGGTGAGAGTTACAATCTGACGACTCTCATATTTAAACAGCAAGACCAATAAACAATGGCCTTGCATGTCATGGTAGACGAGTTACAAGTCAACAACCTCTATCAAACGTTAGAAGTTTAATTCTGCCGTTTCTCAAATTCGAAACGCACACAACTTGTGCGTTCTCCAGCGAATGTGTAACTCTGCAACGCAGGAGTTCAAGCACCAAACGCACACATAACGTTCGCGTTCTCAATAGGTTCAACTACGGTCCCAAACTCTGACGCAGAGGTTAAATTTCAACGCGCACCAACGGCCACTGGTCTCAAATCTCTAACAGAGAATTAACTCTGCCGTCTCAAGTCTTAGACGCAGATTAAAGCCCAGAACGCCAACTGAGACGCGTTTTGACTTGTTCAAACGCAAGCGAACGGCCTCAAAGCCGTTCATCCCACGTTCTGAGGATTCTCGCCCAGCAAAGGGCAAAATAGGGGTTGGTACACCCCCATCACCCTAAAATAACCAACTATACTCCAACTAGATAAGGGCTTGCGTCGGTTGATTCTATTTTCTGATATTCAAAACCGCATAAGTTTAGGTGAGCTGGCCATCAAAACCGCCTAGGTCATCAAATCTCTCAGCAATTTAACGAACGAAAAGATCTCTTTGGAATCAAAGAACTGATCAACGATCAGTTAATTCGAATCCCGAGGGATCCCTTCATCAACAACCTGAATCCACTTCGGCAATTAACGATCTTTCGGTTTCCAACAACTCTCTTATAGAGTTTTAACTCAGCTCTGCATTTATATTCTGAAACTCATTTCAAGCAGTTCGTGCATTCAAGTTGACCCAACTTAATCTCATCAAACCAAATAGTCGCGTTTTCAACAACGCTTGTCAGGAGTTCTTAAGCTCGTTCAGACGTTCTTCTACCACTCTCAAAGAGTTCTTAAACCGAAGTCATCAAACGCTTCAATGTTCCAGTGTAAAGAAGGACGGTACGGATCGTCAACGAGTCAGCAGGTCGAAGATCAATCGAAGGAGGCACCCACGCTACAAGAGAAACCCAGTGTTTAAACAAAGGGGCAAACCAAGATTCGTTTTCCTCTCTTTTGATAACGGAATCCAAATTGTAACTGAGTTTGAGAGAAACACAACGTTGAAATTTCTTTCATTGTCTTTTTTACATCAAATTCAACAAACAGTTTGTTCCAGAAAAGAAAGGTCGCACCCCGATAATAATTTCATCCATTTACTCAGGCAATTGAACTACATGTACGGACGTTGGACTGCTGATGAATCATTCGAACTTGGAGATATGTTTTCTGCCACCGCTTCTTTTGCTGATGGTGAATGCATATCCGGAAGAATCATGGATGATTGATCTACGTACAACACCAATGAGTATGACATGCCTCTACTAGAAAGTGGTCGGAGCAACAGCATACGGACAAAAACGTTCACCGATCCGCCTTACCCATTCATGCAAATGAGAGACAAGGAAAACTACAGGGTCTTCGAATTATTTGTCATTTAAAAATGTATAATTTCTATTCAATGAGATTTTGAATTTTTGATTGAGAGCTAATATGTTTAACATAATAAACATATATGTTTAATAGTAATTATTTACAATTTTGTCAATTCATGTAATGTTAAATTGATTATAGGCAGGGTAATGTTAGAACAAGGTTCGGCCGCCCGGCATAGGGAGTTATATTTCGAACATTAAGAATTAATTAGAGGAGTTATTATTTTATGACATTATTAGATTGTTTAATTAGGAGTTTAATTTATTTTAAATTTTATTTATTGAACATTATTAATGTATGTTTAATTAAGGAGTTAATTATTTTATAAACATTGATTATATGGTTATTTTTTTATTGTTATATTGTTTAATTAGAACTTATTATTAGTATTATTAGGATTGTTACTGTTATCAAAATATTATTGTTATTAATTAGGACTTATTATAGTATTATTAATGCTTATTAACATTGCTTATTGTTAGTATTCATTAATATTGTTATTAATGTTAATTTGTTTTATAAATTACAATTGACAATATTTTAGTACAAGTTATTTGTCCACGTTATTTAAATTTAAAATTATTAAGTTATCAATTATTTTTGCAGGTTGTGCTTTACAGTATTATCCGTACTTTCGTTAGCCAAGTGACACCTAATGTCTGTGTAGTAACCGACGAGATTACGCCTTGATGCATGTCGAGTAGTTTTCCCGGAATCCAGCATCATTTGTGTCGTCCGTCACATTCGAGCAATGCTGCTCAACAAGCACTGCACAGCCAACCTGGTTTTAAAAGAGCGGCAAAGGATATTAAATATCGTCTGAATTGGACATAAGTGCACCACCCATAGATGACCTTTAGATGATAATGGGGACGTCTGGCAGCCACATTACTCGAATTGGGAGCATCTGTGAACTACTGCATTGACACATGGATTATCCGCCATTCCAAAAAATCCTGTCAGCTTACATCGACCATATATATTCACTTCGGAAGCCTACAAACAATAGGAGCCTTGTGAGTTTATGACAAAAAATAATATGAACGGTCAAGAAACATATAATCCCACGAAGTCCCAACTATGTTGAGACATCTTTGTTAAAGGTTATATAAACAGAGGACATAGTCAAAATAATTGAATATTCAAAGTTCAATGGGTAATGCAGGGTCTAAGGCAGAACATCATCGCCGTCATAACGCATTTAGATGAGTGGTCGGTACCCATCGATCGGCGTACTGAGAGAAACTTCACAAGGTGGATGGAAGGCCAAAATCTGTGAGATTAGAAGAAGGTAGCGCAGAGTTAACGCTACTATAAATCCAACACAGACACCTTGGAGATACGTGTTTGTTAATCTGAACAGAATCAAACTTATTTTAAAGCATTCGGCCTATAGAAAGAAATGCAATGTTTACCAAGAAATGGTCAGGATCCAACAACGTTGCTGGTGTACCTAAGGAGAACTCATGCTACCTGGCACATGAAGCTCAGTACTACATCATAAAGGGTATAGCATTCCGTTGGATCAAATACATGATAATTGGAAAAAGTTAGATATTCAGTTTCAATATTCCTAAATGATGCCGCGCATGGATCCCCACTCCACCAAATCCAGGTGAGAGGGGTTGTTTCGAAAGAGTCCCGATATTACTGCACCTCCTACTCGCTAAAAAGAAAACCAGGAGTAAAAAACGCTTCTACTAGTTCTCCGTTTACCTTCGGCGTGGGAGAGGGTTGTGAACGGTACGGATAAAAAGTCTCCAAACAAAAAAGTAATACTACATACTTGATGAATTTCTATATTTGAAATTTGATTTATATTAGCTTACTAATTTATTATTCTCGAATTAACATTGTCAACCTATGCATTTGTAAAGGGCCTGGACGTGTTGCTTCTATCTCTGAATCAACAGGGGAGTCCAATGAGCACATCCTAACGTACGGTGCCACCAGTATCACCATACTTCTCCAAATCCTCCGTGCTCAAGGCCTCCAATGTCAACCCCTTCTTCAAAGGCACCACGATTCATCTTAAGAATTCTGTATTTCGAGAAGAATTCCCGCCTCTACAGTTAGAAAAATCAGATCCAGATGCACTGATGTACGACAGGCGGAATTGTGGATTTAGAAGCGGATGGCCTTCTAGCAATTTACGCGACAACAGAGGATGATTGGTTAAAGTCTAGACAAGACTTAAGTAGCAGATCTACAAATAGAACGCCTTTACGCATCGAATCTTTAGGGGCAGGAGTGCGAGAGCTTGAATGTGACTAATCTCATCCAATCGATTGCTCACTACCATGCGACCAACGGATGATGATTACGCGGATCGTGGTAACCGATTATCTCTCTCTTTT